AAAAAAAAAAAAAAAAAAAATGCATGAAAAGTGATAAAAATTAACCAATTAAATTGGTGCACAAAACGCACTAGTTGTCTGCTGGGAAGTTCACCCACCTGCATCTCCTGAGTGGACAAAACTTCTGGCTGCCCTGCAATTACCACAGTGTCAGTCTCTGTCTCACCATCCATAATATCCCCATCTGCCACTTCAGCCTGGGCAACATCTGGGTCCTCTTCCTGTGCTTCGGCACCCGTTTCGCCTTGAAGAAAAATTAAGGTTAAAGTTTTTTTTGGAAAGGAAATGTAACAAAAGCCATACAAATAAAAGTAGAAATACATGACTGTTTCCACGCTTGGAGACCTCAGTAGTCTATCTGCAGATATCTCTTGTAATCTATTCAATCACTGCAATACCAAAAGATGAGCCAAAATATGGCAAATGTAGGATTCAGAACAGATCTTTGAAAACTAATGCCTACACTAATCTCTCTTCACATCTTAACTCGTTTCACCTATTGTGCTATATTCCATAATAGAAGTGACCTAGTGACCTGTCGCCCAGAAGAAGGGACCGTACGTGGCCCCGGAACGTTGGCTGTTTGACGCATGTGACGATTGAATAAAAAGTGCTTTACTACTTGCACATATCGAGTGCTGGTGACTTCTATTATGGACTGTATCTGACACGGCGCCATCCGTGTTGTCACTTCAAGCACCAACCTTTAATTCAAGGTCTGTACGCTGTATGGAGTGCGGGTGATTTTGTATCATCTATTGTGCTACATGGCACAATTTGAAACCCACTTTACAATACCTGTACTGCTCGGCATATTTAAAAATAGCACAGCTAAAGCACCATATATGAAAGACTGTTCTGAGATCTCAGAGTTTGCCTGCAAGTAGTGCAGCAGATCCAAAGATGCCAGCTCCTAGAGTCTTCAAAAGCCGGCTTCTATAGAAATGAGGGACACTACACTGTGTATTAAAAGAAAATCCACTCTTTAGTGCCTTGCCTACTATAAGTAGACCTAAACCCTGATTTTTTATGCCCCTTTAAAAGTAGATAGAAGCCCATTAAAAAAACAAAAAAAAAAAAACACAATGGAACACAGAACCTAAATCGTGATTATTATGGAGGAATCATCTCGAAACATTAGCCGCTGCTGTCTAAATACGCAAACAATGACTGCATTTAATTGGATGCGGCTAAGGTTCGGTTAACCATTTTCCATCCTGCTCCTTTAAATTTTCAATTGCAGTTTAGGAGCAGGATAATGTTAACAGGGCCACCCCAGAGCTTGAAATTTTGGCCGATTCAGTGGGCCATGTATGGCTAGCCTTAATTTTCAGTGTCTTTACAGTGCATTTACCCAAGAACAGTAAAATCTATCACGAGAATGTTTAAAATATGCAACCACAATCGATGCAAGCTATGTACCTGTATCTGGCTGATTACTATTAGGATCTCTAGCAGCCCCATGGGTGTCTTGCTCAGATTTGTTCTTTCCCGAGGCTCCTTTGCTACCGAACAGACTGCTTGGCTGATTAACAATGCGGGACAGAGTCTCCAGGGGTTTCAGGGCTGCGTTTACAGTATTTGCCATATTTGGGCTGAAACAAAAGCAAGATGCAGGTTATCAAACATTGCCCATTAATTACTAATAAAAGGGACTGCACAGTGCTTACATTACCTGGACAGATCTAGGCTGTGGGGAACCCTTGCCAAATCGCTAACAAGACCTTTCTTCAAGAAGAGGCGAATGATGTTGTTCATGCCATTGTGCTGGGTTTTGGTAGTTGCACTGCTGTAGAAGCTTGAGGTGGACGGACACGACTCCATGATGGTACTGATAATACACATCACAGCCTGCAACCTAAGTAAATGACACAAGGAGATAATGTTGAAATGTCCAGATAGTGATCCCAACATCATTCAGGACATAACAGCAAACTTAAAGTCCATTTCCACCTTTGTAAGTGATTTGCATTTATCGTGATAATGGAGAGGGGCAGCGCTGATGTATACATGCGCACATTGGCATGACTCATATTGCAGGCTGTCTTCATTTTTTAATGAAAGTTTTATTAGGCCCAAAGCCTAAAAATTCTACATTTTCTCTACAAGAAATTTAGTCAAAAACCAGGACACACATACACTGTCCAGGGAAAGGGGGGGATATTTTGACATTGCTTGCGCAGTACAGAGGCAGAAATTTCCATGAAGAGGAAAACAAAAAAAATGTAAGTTTCTGTTTTCATATCCATTAACTGCATATGTCTGTTTCATATACACTTACTGGCATATGCTCTTTAAAATACCTCTGCAAAGGTGGAAATGGGCTTAAAAATTCAGCGTGCTTACTCCATAAAAATCTTACCTGGCATGCTTTTCTGTACTCTCAGCCATAGCCAGTGCACGACCAAGGGCAGCTTTCACTTCATTCACAAGCGCCACCTGGGCATCGGTGCCACTGCCTGCTGCAGCCAGGCTAGCTAAAAAGAGACGTGCTAAAGCTGGTGTGTCCTTGTCTTCAGCATTCTGAGTATGAGGCAGGAGATGATCCAAGACAAACGCTAATACACTACAATCCTGGCATTAAATCAGAGCACAAATTAATATAGCATGCCACAATAAGAAAATGGCAACAAGAATTTTGTTTTGCATTCATTTTACCTCTTTGATAAGTTCAGACTGTCCAGCTGTGTAGTTGTAATTGGCGATAAGTGTGGCAATACCCACATAAGATCTGACCAGCTCAGCCAACAGTCGTAGAATTGTAGAGGTGGGCAGCAAAGGTTTGCTGCCTTTGGCCTTCTGCTTTGCCTCTTCTGAAGTGCGGTCCCCATCCTTGTCCTTCTTTCCTCCTTCACGATTCTCCTCTGGAGTAAGTGCTGCTAGGGGCCACGAATTTGATTAACAGGTACAAAAAAACATTAGAACATATTAGCACCCACTGCTTGAAATAAAATGTTTATTTCTTAAAGTCATAAATGTACATGCTTCAGGCCTTGTTCACACCAAATGCAGAGCAGATCCGCTCAGGTTACTGCACACGCACGCTAGTCTTTTAGATGCGTTTTTGGCAAAAAAATAATTTTTTTTAGTTTAACATGGGCTTTCAGTGCGTTCCAGGCATTTGCAGATCCAGAGCAGGTAAAATAGGGCCTGCTGCAGTTTTTTTTACCTGCTCTGGATCTGCACGCAGCGATGTGAACTGGAGCTAAAAATACCATAGGAATACATTGGACGCAGTTTTGATCCTGTTTGCACCTGCTCTGCGCTTGGTGTGAACTAGCCCTAAAGGACAGGTTGCAACTGGCTGGTGTATGCAGCTATTTAGTCCACATAGAACTGGATACATTAAAGGGTGATTTAAAACCAACACCAAGATAATACAAAAAACAAAACAAAAGCATAACTAACACAGGGCTCTCCAAACGCGTTACAAATTGCCCATACAATATCTATACACTTAACTTCTTCTAAACTATATGAAGACCTACCTAATTTATCCAATCAATGTGTATTTATTTTAGCAGGCCCTTGCACTACAAAGTTGTTAGTAGATGCAAGGGAGATTGTAGAACCAGATTTTAATATCTGTCGTGAGCTTAGGATATTACTCATTTAACAATTTTATTTTGTCAGCATTTACTCCTATCTCCTTCCCTTTACCACAATTCTTTCTAATGGTATCAAAATGATTTCTGTTCTCATCAGTCCTGAAATGACTGATTCAGCCTGGGTGATGGGGTATATGTTGGGAGGTTATGCTCTAGCATGATGCACTGGCTCTTCAGCTTCGGCGTAGTGATTTAATATGCAGAAATCTTCAGGTACAGCCCTTAGTTTAGTCATTTCATTTCTTTAGGTATCCAAAGTGGTATAACAAGTTTGGAACTAATTCCACCTGTTCTTCCTGCTGCATGGGTTCATCACCAGATGCTGAACGTTTGCTTCTCGGTGTGCCTTTCCTGCACTTTTTGCCACTCCAGGCAAACTTCTAACATATGATGCTTTGGTTGTATTGGTTTGTGTGTCTTAAAAAGCAGTCTTGAAAAACCTACCTTCCCCTTGAGGTGTTCCAGACTGAGGCGTCTCAGTAGATGAACTATCAGCAGTGAAAACGCGTGCCTGAAAAAAAAATAATGCAAACTTAATATACAATATCCAATAAGAATGCCAAGTGTAACTGACATTAATCTAGCGCAGCAGCTAGGCCAGAGCCATATTTTTCTGTAAAATGTACAATCTTGATGGACTGCAAAAAAAATATAGGATTTTGTTTTTATCATGAAATCCTTTTCTCAGAGTCCATTGAGGTACACTGCTCTGAAGAATTCTGAGACGTAGGGTTATGCTGCTGACTCCGGGAGAAATGGACAACCCCTCCAACCTCACACCTGCCAGTTGTGGCCTGCAATATGAAAGGAAATGAGGGGAGGAAGCTGTGTCCCTAAATGCACTGTGAGAAAGGGACTTTACAGCAAGAACAAAATCTTATTTCCTTTATCGTCCATGGAGGGACACAGCTGTGAAGAAACGATATGTAGGGATGTTCAAAGGCAGTCCAAACAGAGAGGTGGCCACAACTACTAGAAGAGCCAGCTCAGCAATTGGCCTCGGGAGCTCAGACACTACTCCACCTCCTTTTATTTTACGCCTGGAAGACCATTCTGCTGGTCTGGGGTAGCCCGACAGCTCCCTCGCTGAGCAAGTGGAAAAGATTGGTCGATCAAGCACTACCCATTAAAAGACTTGCGTATGAGCAGCGGGGCAACCCAACGTGTTTTGGACGCATCTGGGACCCGTGGCTGTCCTCCTCTAACACAACGGTGGATATGAGGTGATGTACTAAATGCACTCTCCTCTTTTAGACTAATGGCCTCCTTTTGAACTCCTGGAAGTGTTTCATACCCTATTGATTACATGTAGCTAGGTCCAATTTCCTACACTGTATACTGCCTGCGTTTGGAGGATAACTCCCATGTACTGGATTATGTAACCTTGTAAACAGTAAAATGTATATATATATTGCATCATTGCCTGGGTTATATTGACCCAGTTGTTGTATGTATCGATAGCTGTTTTTTTTTTTTGCTATTGTCTATGACACTGAAAAGACTCAAAAAAAAGCTCTATCGGTCCCCAAAAAAGGGTATAAAATTAATTTCAGTACAGCGCTGCATGACGGAATAAATGTAAGTACCGCAGCGCTGAATACTGAAAAATGGCCTGGATGGGAAGTGGGTTTAACACCGTGGATGTCAATTGGTTAAAAAAATAAAAAAAAGAAGAGCTAGCTCCAAAAAAAAAAAAATGACTGTCAAAATATTTTTAAACAGCTGCCTGAAGGCTTTTCATTATTTTGCCCAGTCTATTTCTCCTGAAGGAAGCAGCAGAACCCTAGATCTCAGTATTCTTCAGAGCCGTGTCCCTCAATGGATGATAGAGAAATGTAAATTAAAGGAATATTTCTAAAAACAAAAAATAGTCGTGATACAAGAGACCAGATACTTACATTTATGGCAAAGCTGCCCTGGGAATCAAAGTCACTGCCTTGTCTGGTGAGGTCTCTGTACTGCTGGAAAACTTCATCGCCCATATCTTGGAGGATCTGACTGACTTCCTGGTTCATACCCACTGGCTTCGGTTCTGTTTTTTCAGCCACTACAAAAGTACAACAAGCATCTCAGAAATCCTGTCCCAATCAGCACATGACAAGTTTCAAACAGCAGCTCGCATTTTTAGGGAGAAGGACCCTGATAAACCGCTAGACAATTAAGGCTGCAGTAAGCTTTCAGTGAAATAATAAAGCTCTGTTGTTGGTGATGTAGAAAGTTCTTAGGACTGTCACCACAGATAATGGTACATACAGTGATATAGAAAATATAAAATATCGAAAATAACAGAGCTGAGAACAAAACCAAACCCATACCTTCTTCTGGTGCATGGTAAGCTGCTAGTGCATTCAACATGTCATAAATGACCTCTTTTATTGTATCGGAGATGACAGGAAGAGTAGAGGGTTTAACAGGTGTGGTCTTCACCAGCTGCACTGCATTAGGGCCTTTGATACGGAGGTTTTCAAACTCATCATCAGAAGCTGAAAAAAAATAAATATACACCCAAATTAAATGTACAAGTCAATTTATAAAAAAAAAAAAAAAATCAGAAATCAACTTACTTAAAAAACGTGAATATCAAATCAAACTAAGTAGCTGAACAGGCTTATGTTGCAATGATAACTACTGCAATATCCGAGTGCCGCAAAGTTTTTACAAAACATACTTCGGACTCTTTAAAGAAAATGGTTTTTCCTGTTGAGTTCACTGGGGAACAAAGGGGAACTCGGTCAGGGGTGCCCATTAGGTCGATCGCCGATCTACTAGTCGATCGCAAAGTGAATACTGGTGGATCCCGATCGGCTGTGTCCTGTGGGGCTTCTCCTCTGGATCCCCACTGCTCTCACCCCATCTGTATGCAACGGGGATTCCAGGAGAAGTGAAGGAAGCACTGCAGGCGGCCGAAGGGGGGAGCCGCTGTCAAAGCAGCATGGCCGAGCAGTGAGGAGAGAGTGTGTGAGAGAGTCCAGGATCTGACAGCCGGCGGCTCTCTCCTCACCGCTCGGTGCGTGGCCGAGCAGCGGAGGATCGGTACATATGAGTGATATGTACCAATCCTCTGTGCAGAGCAAACACTAGTGCTATGTGTCCCCAGTTATGAACAGGAGGTGATTTACATCACTTCCTGTTCATTCATGAGTTTCTCAATGGGAGTAGTACTCTGTAGAGGCTCCTCCCCATTCAAAAACTGGATGATAGATAATATAAATTTTCTGAATGAATGGCAAGCCTCTGTACTTTCCATTTATTTAGAACAGATGCTGCAGAAAAAGAGATTGAGGACTTTGTGTCCTAAATTTCTTTTTCTATTTTAAAGGGAAATATCAGGGGGCTTTTCAGACCCCTGATATTTCCCAAAAGAAACCTGCACTGAGAGAAATTTGGGGGCCATCACTGACCACCTTCTGAAAAGCAAGCGGACACCAATCGGGAATAAGCAAACAATGAAGGTAGATTTAAGTCTGCATACTTCTAGGTGAATGACAAAAAGAAACAAAGCTATGGGATCAGCAAGTCCACTGGCATTTTCTGAAGGCAAGATCAGCAATTGCAGCTCCAGCATTTTATTTTTAAGGATGTAAAGCAATGGGAAACATTGAAACAAGACTAAGTTGAAAGGGATGTTTGTCTTGTGTCAATCGACTCTTGTAAAGAATATTAAAGCATAGAAGGAAGGTGAGGTGTCCCCATACAAATCAAACCTCTTATAGGCTACTGTGTCCTCCAATGAGCAATAAGATAATATGCAAAAACATATACATATAAAAGAAATAGTATATAGAAAGTACTCACCAGTTCCTGAACCACGTGGAGCAGGAAGAGCTATCCGAATACAATTGTTTGCAACCTCAGTAAAGATGTCTGGGTTTCGACAGGCTGCAGGACCCAGAACTCTGAGGATGTAATTAATCTCTCGGGACCCAAGGCTTCCAGACACAACACCTGAGGTAGTGCTACCAGCACCGCTGGTAGCTGCAGACCGAACCACCTTAAAAAAAAAAAACACAGTCGTATGCATATACTTTTTGCCAACAAATAAGCAGAACTCTGGGCAGAATAAACATTAACCCAAGCAGTTATTTAAAATATTAAGGAAAAATTACCGAAAAAACGTTTTTTTTACATTATAATACATTACCCAATTTTTTGGTAAAATATAAAAGTCACGTCGGGTGAATAAACATATCAAGCCTTAAAATTGCGAAATCGCAAAAACTACTATACCAAAAATTGGCCACAGGCGATGCGTTAAAAGCTTTTAACCACTCATCGGTTTAATGTTATCAGTGAATAATGGCCCTAGAATTATTGTTTGCGGTGATATGTAACATGTACGCCGTGATGGGCGCAATCGTTGTTTTTGCGCATGTATGTGAGGCAAGGACTTTAAGTGCGACTATTTTTTTTGCAACTTTAATTTTTTTTCACTTAACTTTATTGGTATCACATAGGGGGCTAAGAAGCCCCTCATGTGATAGTAAAGAGGATGTGACAGGTCCTCTTTATGGAGACATCAGAGGTCTTTAAGACACAATGTCACCTGTGGACCCCCAAAGAAGCTGATTAAGCATAGATCTCCATCAGCTTCTGAAGCTGGAGAGTGACAGCAGAATGCATGTCACTCTATACATCAATTCCTACATTCTGGCACCGGAGATCGGAGGGAGATTGTGTGCTGAACTCCCTCTGATCCCGTCACAGAGCCGCCGTGCTAGTCCCGGGTACAGCTGAGCTCGGAACCAATGCTCCAGGGTGCGCAATGACCAGCACCTAATACAAGCGATCCACTGGACCACTTGTATGTAAACAGGCATCATTGCCATGTTGTATCTTTGTATGTAGACAGTTTCCCGCTCATGCGTGCAGATCACAGATCAGAATATATTAATTGTGATGGCTTCTTGCCAAGCCAGCAAATTCCGCAACGTGGCGAATATTCTCAAATTACATACATCCCGATTGACATTGGATTTTAAACAGTAAAAATTGCAACAAAAAGATGTTTGGCTTACAGATGAAACAATTACCTTCTCCATGGTGTTCTGTAACGTGCATGGATCCTCTATGATGTGCCTGAAAAGGAGGGTAACTAATGGAGTGAAGCCATTAAAGCCAGAGCTCTGAGTCAAGCTCAGGATCATACGTGTGCTCTTCAGCTCTGCGAACATCATGGCATATTTATGGTCACGGGTAAGGCGCAGACACAACCGAAGAGTAGCATGTAAGGTGTCTGGATCTACAGGAACACCGAGCATGCTAACACATGACCTGATCAGCACAGTCACCATCTCTTCTGTGAGGCCTTGTATAACTATGTCTCCAACTTTGGGTTCCTCAGGGGGAGATTCTTTTTCAGGAGTAGTGCTCTCAGGAGCAGGAGTTGCATCTAGTGAAAAAAAACGTACGATTCAGTACATTTTAAAAAACGATACCCGCCCTACAAAACACAATAGATTAGGGAAATGGCTTATTAGACAATATAAAAAAATAAAATAAAAAAAAAGGGACTTTGGATGGCTTTATAGTTTGAGATAATATGTGGTAGGATTGGCAGTGTTGATTTCTGACTGGCAAAACACAGCTTAGTGTCATAAGTACACATTTTAATGGTCTATGTGGACTGGCTTTTGTGTCCATGAGAATTTCTTCTCTCCCTATGCAAGTGAATGGGAATGAAGCAGCCTGAAAGGTAAAATGCAGGTCAGGAGGTCAAGTGTACCTGTTAATTCTGAATGATCTCAGAAGAGCTTCAAACTGATGCCAAAATAAAGCTGTAGTTTGCCCATCAGCACAGATTCTAACACACTGGCTTTAAAACAGAAGGGCTACACATGGTACATTATAAGATGGGTACTACTGTGGTACAACATAACTCTATGCCACATCATTTATCACACTTCAGACTACTGTCAAACTTGCTAAATGTGATATTAAAGTCCAATAGCTTTTAAGCTATTTCAGATGCTGATGAAATCACTTACAATGGATGCTGCTTCTTGAGGTTTAAAAGTTTTGGTTTCCTGCAGAATCAGCTGGTCCCCTGAGCACTTGTTCTGACTTCCTATTTTAGAGTGGCTGCTTTCTCAAGCAGGTTGCTATGTAGTCACCCTTGTGTGCGCAAGTAAGCTGTGTGTCTCTCCACAAATACAGCAAATCAAGCTACTCCCCCGCCCCCCTCCTTCCCTCATCTAAGCTAGTAGAACAGTTGCTGGAGTCTCCACTGTTCTTTGTGATCTTGTACTGGACAGGAAGTTTAGGGAAGCTGAGCTAAGAGTCACTGCTATATTTCAGGAGGAATTGCAGACAAAAGGTACACTTTTCAAAGCACTGCTGAGGCACAATTAACATTTCAGATTTTTTTCATTTTTTGAGTTCACTTTAAGTGAGAAAGTCAGGGCCTGTTCACATGAGATCAGGTCCTGATCAGCAGACGTGGAGCTGCTGATGCAGTGCGTTTTAGCTGCGTTTTTGATGCGTTCCATCAGTATGTTAGCTGCAGCGCAGTGCGTTTTTGACGCGTTTGCGTATCCGGACCTGAAAAAATGTGACATGCAGTATTTTTTCTGTCGTAAGCTGAACGGACTGCGCACGTGAGAACTGGAGCCCATAAAACACATTGGGATACATTGGGATGCATTTTGAGTGCAGCAGCGTACGGAGCCGGTCAGCACACAAAACGGACGTCGTGTGAACAGGCCCTAAGTGCCAAAGTTCTCTCAATTTTGCAGTGACTGGCCTGTTATAACACTAGCGGAGAACATGGGCAAAAAGGACTAAATAGATACCAGCTCTTACCAGCCAATTTCTCCTCCTTTTGTTTGGTATCAGCTTCTTTGCCTTCCTCCAAGGTCTTCTCCAGTTCTTGGCCATTTCCATTCTTACCACCTTTGGTTAGGCGTGGAACACGCAGCAGAGTCAGCATTACAGGCCGCCTATTTCCAGTTTCTTCATTTACCTGTGGAAAATACACAGTCACAAAAGGTAGCATTTCCTAGTTACAGTAAATATAGAAAGCATTCGCCACCTCGGAAGTGTTCATATTTTATTGCCGTGGAAAACTAAACTGCATAAGAATGAGGTCACAGTGAAAACCCATCTCAGCAAAGTGTTTTAAATTCACAATGGGGGACGGTGTGTTAATCAGATGTTTTATTTAGTTTGGATAGTCAAAAACCTCAAATTTGGTTTCAGACCATAGAAACATCTTCCAGCGGACTCCAGAGTCACGCAGGCACCTTCTGGCAAACTGTAGGCAAGATGGCAAACTTACACCCAGACTATACGCTACACTTAATTTTTACTTTTTGTTTATAAATGACCAATATATTCCTCAACATAATGTAACATGCTAGTTTTCCAAAGAAGTAGTATCAAATCTGTAAAGAGGTGTACAAAAGAAAAAAAAAAATCAGCGCTTCACAATATAGTTTCAAGCATCTGGCCTTCTATTGTTGTGTGAAGAAAGCATTTTAGTTTGTGGCTGTGTACAAAACTAAAAACTACTGGATGCATTACGTTTTTTTTTGGGTGTGTTAGGGATGTAGATGAGGGCATTGGTATGGATGGCTTTGCATGCTGCTAATATTTTGAATTTTATTTTTGGGGAGAAAACAGTGGCAGGATTGGCAGACACTGAGGGTAAGGTAGAAGCGTGACTGATGGGGAGCCTGTGTAGAGTTTGGCCAACAAGCGGGGAGTTGCAACATTCAAGGCAAGAGACAAGGGAGTGAATTAGTAGCTTAGTCATGTTATTGGTTTAGAAGTTGTGTATTTCGGAAATGTTATAGGAGGTGAAGGTGGCAAGGTTTGGACAGTGATTAAATGTGACACTGTTATAGCTTTTTCTTTTATATTGGTCTGTTTAAAGAAAAAAACTTAATGATCTAATAAAAAATCATTTAAAACAATGCGAGACTGAAAGGAGTGATCAGAGCCCAGAATTACACGTAGCACCCTGCCATGAAGGGAGAGCCCGAAGACTGGGAGGTGGCTGAGGAAAAAGCTCAGTTTTTCAAAGATTTAGTTTCAGGAAGTGGTGTGACATCCATTCTAATATGTTAGAAAGTTAGTGAATGAGATTATAAGGGGTGAGCTAAGAAAGACATGATTTGGATGTCACCGTGTAGCATTAAGAATTTTAAAATCTTCTTAAGCAAACTTTTACAAGACCATTATAATAATATCTTTGCTATAACCAGTTCAGCAATAAAAACATACTTGGAGATAAATCAAAACAAATGTGGAAAAAAAAAAAAACAACTACCTGAACCATAGTTGTGAACTGTACAGTGTATCGCCGGCGGCCGGCTGTGAAGCGCACACAAGTCTCCCCAGCTTTCCATGCTGCATCAATGGTGCTGTTGTTACTAGCACTATAGCTACACCAACGCCCTGATCTATCATCAAACCAACGCCAGTTGTTACCATTTGATTGCAGATACTAAAAGAGGAAAAACAAAAAACAAATATGTAAACCCTTATAGCCTACACAAAAGCAAAGAAACATTCTCATGTGAAAAGGAACGCAACATGTTAGAATGATCACGAAAGACAAACTTTGCAGTGAGACTCATCAGGAGCGCTAACACTGTAAAATGCTTGTTATGTAATACATATTAAGAATCAGCACTGGGAGGAACATGTAAGGTTATTAAAAACCATTCCCGCTGTCCTGTCATATACAATAGTTTTATGTTTATAGGTGACCTTGGAAAGAAGGGAGCTTATGGCCCAAATGACATGGACTTCGTGGGGAAAAAAGTGAATAAATCAACAAAGCTGGCAAAGGAGAATTCTGAAGCAGCAGCCCTCGTTTTCCGGTGTTGTCATGGTGAGGTGCCCTCGGCTCTGTCCCCCTCCTTCTCGGCCAGAGTGGAGCCCGCTAGGCGATCATTTGCGCCCGTGCTGTTGCCACCTGCTCATGGTGAGCGGTCCTCCCTTTTCTGTGCATCCAGTTAAAGCGTTTTAAAACGGTACCCCCACACCTCTGGAAGTGCCCGCAAAAAAGGTAAGCCTACACAGGGCAAGGGGCCAGATTCAAAATAGGGGGGTGGTGAAGCACCCTATATGCCCCAATTGGGAGTGAGGAGCCCTTACCTAGGGATCCCTGTGGGGGGCCTGAAACAGTGGCGTAATGACTGCAGGATACAGAGGACACCAGCAGAAACGCTTTCTGCATGCAGCCACCAGAGTGGGAAAGGGGGGTGAAAAACAAGCCCAAATTTACGGTCAAGCTGCGAGCTGGACCGCTAGGGTTAAACCCCAGCTAGGGGCACAACGCTGCCGGAATCAGTTCCTTCGCTCTATCTGGGGAACAGACCGGGGGGATGGGGGCTTAGGTAGGTGGAACCTCTCCTTTCTCATGTGCTGTCCTGGAAGAAGATTGGGGAGGGAAAAAAATTAGTAACCCTCGCACTGGGGCTACCCCCGGACTGCAAGGGTTAAGGGCCTGTTCACATTATATCAGGTCCTGATCAGGTGCGGATCTGCTGACTGATGCAGTGCGTTTTTGCCACGTTTTGGTCGCGTTTTTGATGCATTCCAGTAAAAAAAAAGAGTGGGCTGTTAGTATGTTAGCTGCAGTGCGTTTTTGATGCGTTTGCGTTTCCTGACCGTACAAAATGTGACATGCAGTATTTTTCCGTCGTAACGTGAACGGACCACGCACGTGAGAACTGTAGCCCATAAAACACATAGGGATACATTTTGAGTGCAGCAGCGTACGGATCCGGTCAGCACACAAAACGGACGTCGTGTGAACAGGCCCTAAGTGCTCGTTTTTGTCTAGGTTAAAAAATAAATAAAGTTATACTCGCCCAAAGCCCACGAGACGGCCAGAAGTGACAGCTCTCCCTCCAGCCTGTCTACTCCTCCTTCCTAGGCTTCAGCATTGGAATGTTCCTCAGTAGCCTCACGTCTATATAGTGTATAGAACATGATGATTTACAGGAACTTAGACCGCTGCAGAGGAGGGGGAGAGAGGCTGGAGGGACAAGTATAAGAACAAGCAAACTCCCCGTTCAGGTTAGTATAAAAAATTTTTTTTAACCTAGGCAAAAGCCCAGCAGTTATCCCTTTCAGTGCGGGGGTAGCCCCACTGTAAGGGTTAATAAAACTTTTCCCCGGTATTCTTCATTAAGATCTTATGTGGCTGGTTGAAACTGCTAGGAGGTACAGTCGAGGGAGAAAGTTTATAAAAACACATGAAAGTATTATGCGTATTTACTAAAAGTTGGATTTTTTGCTGACGAGCTGAGGTCTCGTCAGCAGCTGAACAATACACCTTAAAAAGGTTTCTATTTTGCTTAAAGCTAGCCATACACCTTGTGATTATCGTTCGATTTCCTTCGTGTCTTCATCGAACCGTTGTTCGATTTCCGCTAGAATACCCCATCATGCCCAGACCAATGTCGATTTTGATTATCGTTCATTATCAATACTAACTGAGCAAATTTCATTGATCGACAGAACAGATGTTCGTTTGCGCATGTACAGTGTTCATGTTGCGATTTTTTTTTTTTACGAAAACGCCACTAATCTATCGATTTTCGCAGGATTCGAAACCCCCCCCCCCAGTTTTCAAGCCTTACCAATTGAGAGGAAATTCGGCCTGTTGTACATTTATTTTGATAGCTCACTTCCCAACAACTGCTCGATTATCGTATGAAAACCCAATCGCGTTCGATCTCCGAACGATAATCGCACGTTGTACGGGCACCTTAAGAGCCAAAAATAGAGAACTCAAATTGACACCTGTCCAACACCAAGTACTACTGTAATTTTAGGTTTATAATGCTTTTTGTCTAGTGCTGCATGCAAAAGCAGAATAAAGCTCCCATGACTGACTTAAAAGTGATTGCATGCAGAGAGGACAGGCCATTTTACTATTGGAAGGGCTCTGGGGGTAATAGGGCATTTCAATTCAAAATGTCCTCAAAATAACACTTGGCAAGGATCTATAACGAAAAAGTAATGCATGTGTAGTAGCCTCTCCAATGTAGACACATGTCAAATACTATTATTGCTTGTCTTTTTATATACAGTAAGAGTAGTCGTAACATTTTGAAAGGTTACCCTGTTCATCTGTACTCTCCTCTTAGAAGCAATGGAGGTCTTTTCATAGAAGTCTATAATCAATAGGACTGGGGTTATCCATCTGTCAAACAATGATGAAATGAGTTATAAAAAGTTTTCAGAACTGCTTAGCTTGTAAAGTGATATAAAACGGTGCAAAAAAAGAGTCTTACTTAGGTGTGTGAATCTCCTTTTGCTCCTTAGCAGCCTGCAGGCAAGGCTGAACGACCTCTAGCAGTTTAATCAGAACATTAAGAATCCCACTGGTTTCCACCACTCTGGCACAGGGGAGCTTCAGCTCCTAGTCAGAACAAAAGAGAAATAAAGATTTAAGTACTCAAGGCATCTTTAGACACAAGCAATTTTAACACACATACATCTCTTTGCATCAAGGCAGTGACCCTGTGTGGAGTGCGGTTACCACAGCATTTATGTGTAGATCAGTCTACATAAAAAAGTCACCAGATTTCTTTAGGAACCATGCTATTAATATCTATCTGCAGGTCACAGTTTCAGGTATACTGCAGTTCTCTTCACTACAATAGAGATGCACCAATACCAAGTACTGTACTCAGTACAAGTACATGTACAGATACTTTTCCAGCTCCAAGACTAGACAAAAATTCAAGTTAGGAGGCCGCGGTCATTTGTAAAGAGCACACGGAGCTCCTGGGATTTGTACATCTATGTTTTAATGTAAGATTTTGTTTTATAAACGTATAAAAGGGGATGCACCGATACCGTTTTTGCAAGTACAAGTACTGATACTTATCCAAGTACTTACAGACACAAGTACGGATACATTTTTGTTATTTTCATGTGACAAGTTTTTCTAAAACAATACGGACTAATGATTTAGTCCGTATTGACAGTGACTAAAAGGACAGTGGTGGAGTGCCAGAGCCAAGTCACAGCTGCAACCCTGGTAGTTCTCATGAAAATGCCAAGTATCAGCACTGGTATCTGAACTGGTATTGGTGCATCCTTACAATACAATAGGAATCATGCATCTGGCATGATGAGGCAAGCTGGCAACACCAGAACTGAAGGACTTGCCTGTACAGCACCCGATTTGTCAGGCCAACATCAACCACCAATAGACTTGGTCATTTCTACTGTTAAACCTATAAACCAGCTAAAAAAATAATTTGGATAAAGTGCAACATTACAAAATGGGTCAGCACCTCAAAGAGTAGAGTTAGTAGAAGGATGCGTGTGGCCAGGTTGGATGCCTGAGGGAGAGTTGCCATCTGACTTATCCACTCTGACACGGTTTTATTGTCGTTGGTTGTAAGAGGAAGAGCAGCTTTAATGAGCACATCAGCAGCTTCCCACACCTACAGAAAACAAATCATGCAATTAAATGGCTGTTTACAATATACAAATCGAAATTCTGTGTTTACTTTTGAGGAATGGATGCTAGCCTGACCTGGTTGACCACTTGCTTTAGAATCATATCTCTGTAGTCGGCTCCATTACGCTTTATAGCCGTCATGATCAGGTCACAAACACGGTAAACTGTATCTGGTAGCTCATCCAACAGATGGAAACAGCCGGGGAGCATGGTGTCTGTAAAACCATGCAGTTCATCTTGCTCCAAGGGTTCTGCATCTTGGAACTTTTCTAGGCACTTGGCCTCCTCCTCCTCTTGTTTCTCGCGGGCCTTGCGTTCCTCTTCCTCTTTTCGGCGTGCAGTTTCCTAGAGAGGTAGAAAGAAGGGTTCTAAAGGAAGGGTATGACCAAGTTTCGTACACAATCCAACCTCACCGCCCCACCTTAATCTAATGGCTAAAACACAATGCCCTAGCCCTTTAATCTCTTAAAGTCAAAAAAAGAAAAAAAAACAGTGGCTCGCTGTCATTAAAACTAACACAAAAAAACAACAAAATCAATGCTTTATACTGGTCAGATACCTCTATCATCTTGTGAAGTTTCACCAGAGGTGAAAAGGAGGGGGCTGTGTGCAGGGGAAGATTTAGGGATACAGTGGATGGGGAGAAAAGGGGAAGGGAACATTGGTCAGGTGGATGGGAGAAGGAAAAGCTCAACCTTTTCTAACGCAGGCACAAAAGCCAGTGCCCTTAGATCCTGGTCACTTCTCAAGACCTGTTGGAAAGTTTCATTTGCCTGACCCCATTAATCCCACAACTGATCTTGTACTGTACCTCGGGCAGCTCTGCCCTCTGTTCCATAGGGATATCTTGTCCCAACGACATGGCAATGGCTCTCAGCATCTGATCGTCCTCTGACAAACTCAAGTCCTGCAGAGCAACAACAGATACCCCCATGTCAGCTGGGCTGCTCTGCAGAATGGGGAGGCCAGGGCATGAGAGTAAGGATGCACAGGCAATAGGAAAGACATTAAGAGCCCAATGGGTTTGGGAAGATTGGAGCAAAAGGTGAGAGGGGAGCTGCTACAACTTAGCCCGGGGAGCCCATTTTCCTGTAAAGGGGAGGGTAACAGTTCACCTTTCTAACTACAAAGCCAACCCTGATGTTTTAATCAGAGATGTTCCAAAGCAGTTTATATTCTGTGATTTTATCCCTCACCTAACATAAAACTGCTCTGTCAACATGCGGATGCTTATAGGTCTGCTCTGCATGAGCAGAGTGGCACGGAGAAGCCTGCGGTAGAAAGGGGCTGGAATGGAGGACAGGGAAACATGAAATGTAATGAGGGAACGGAAGGGAAGCAAAACGGAAGCGGGCGTTGATGAAAAGCCAAATGGCTAAAGGTGGCACCAGAGGGCCACACTTACCCGTACGACTCCACCAATGAGAGGAGGTGGGTGAGTGAGCAGATATTCTGTGGCTTGCTCCATAGTGCTTGTGTTGAGAAGGGCGTCCATTGCATGCTCTCGTGTAAAACCCATATCCATAAGCTGTACGGAAAAAGTAAAAAAAACACAAAACTGATTACAATTGTGACTAGGAAGTGACAACCAATCTAATTGTAACTTTGGCAATGTTACATTTGGGAGGGAGGAAATTTTTAGCTAAAATGGCAACCTTTAACCTGCATATGATCTTCATACAGTAAGATGGAGAAATTACCAGCCAGCTAGGCTGGGAAACCATAATTACAACATCTACACGGTGGTAGAAACAGATGCTTCACTGTCATCTTATCGCAAAAATGAATACAGAGTACAGCAAAGACTCTACCTGATTAAACTTTAATCCTATTTCAAAAAAACAAATAAGTCATAATTTGTAGTCTATTAGTGGACCACTAAGGGAATTCCTAAAGTAAAAAAGAAAAGGCTTCTAATATAATTCAGCTCTACTTTGGAATGGTGAATGAAAACTCACCTGCTGCAGTTGTTGTTGGTTTACTTGTGGCTCTCGTCTCGCTCCGCTCTCATCCTGCTGCCCTCCCTCTTCTTCTCCTCGGCTGCCTTCTCTTTCTTTACTTAAACGTTCCCGAATCACTGGCTCTCCACGAAGTATATGACATAAGATGGCCAGCATAGATTCAGCCATTCGACCTCCATATACCTTTAACGGCTTCCGGTTCCACAAGTTTTTTATACAAGTGAAGGCTGCCTTTAAACAGATAAATCAAATGTGAACAAGATTCACAAAGGATAGTGATCCAAACAAAAACATCACATAACACATGATTGATTCCCAAACTTTTTGGCTGTAGATGCCAGAAATAAACCCTCTGGACAGTTCACAACCTAGGTTTTTAAAATGGTACTGAAATATGGGCTAGAGAACGTTACCCTGGCAGCCAGTTGCCCTCGGCACTCGAACAAGATAAATAATTCCAGTATTCCTCGCTCGTGAAAGTTTCCACCACATGACTGGTCCTCCCAGGCTACTCCTCATATAGTATAAGTGAGGACTCTGAGGGCCTGCACACATCCCAGGAAGGTCAGACAGCAGACAACAGCACTGGCTGCCAGGAGAATTAGAAGGCAAGCGTTTCACTTTATTTATACCTATTTTGAGAGTAGGTAACCCTTGCGGTGTTGAGGGGGGCACAATGCAAAGGTAACTTTGTCTTTAGGCCACAGGTCTGGCTTTAAAAACAAAAAAAATCTACCCATTTTTGGCCCACTTTCAAATTTCCAGAAAACTAATCTTCCTTAGAAATGAATGGTATCGCTTTCAAAACACATGGTTAAGAAACCGCACAGGTGGGAATGGGCACCGAGGCTTTGTTTACACAGGCTCCAGCTTGTATAAAATCAGTATGAGAAGCAGGCTTTTACAAGGAATTTTGTAGAGCTTTCAGCAAGCTTTGTTGAAGCCTTTAACCCCTTTGTGACCAGTGACGTCCATAGTACATCACTGGCACCAGGCCCGTTGAAACAGACTCTTGGCGGCAAAAGACACTGGGGCTCCGTGTACAATTGTAATGCCAACTGTCAGCTTTACAATAGAAGCTATATGGCGACTCTGCTGTGGGCAGAACGCTTCTCCGTGCCGGTAAACTGCCTGCTCCTGCCCGACACCCCCGCCGTGTTATGCAGGCTCTGCTACCCCTCCAACGGGCCCGGGACCGCCATGTCGGTGGGAAGCTGGGGTGGAGAGCGGCACACCTCCATTCACCGATCTCCTGCCCGTTCTATGGGACTGGGAGCGACGCATATCGCATCACTTCCGGTCCCTGGGCTGTCAGTTCTGGGCTCCTGAAGCCCAGCAATAAGCTACTGAAGTGCGATCTGCACTTCAATAGCTTATTTCAAGTGTAAAAGGTGACACTAGGGTTCTTTGGACCCCCAGTGCCACCTTAAAGAGTACCTGTCACCACCAATCTGCTATCACATGGGGGACTTGTAAGCCCCCTATGTTAAAGCAATTAAAGTTAAAAAAAATTATAAAAGTTTTAAAAAATATTAAATGTAAAAATAATTAAAAATACATTTTTAAAGTCCCCTGCAAGTCATAACGTAAACACGCGTCAGGTGTGCCTATGTAGGAAAACTGCCATATGTTGGGTATCGCCGTTCACGTCAGTGTGAGAGCAATAATTCTAGGGCCAATATTTTGGGGTATTTCTAAAAAGATGACCTGTAGGGGGTTTTAAAGCGTCGTCTATGGACTTTTTGGGGTACTGAATTTTGCCGCCCTTTCACAGACCCACACAATTTTTATGCTGGGCATGTTGGGTATTTACTCATTGTATACCTCATCTTTTTATATTTTAAAAAATGGCTATTGTATTGTGTTTTGGGGCGCTAAAGTTTCACAAAATTTTAGGGTTTGATATGTTGCGCTAATATGATGCAACATAAAAATTTGCAACTGCCACCATTTTATTCTTTAGGGTCTTGGCTTTCAGGGGTTTGAAGTAATTTTTAGGCCTAAAATGTGGATTATAACATGGGTGCAAAAAAAACACGGAAAAAAGGCTTCAGTCATTAATGGGTTAAAGTTCCATTCTGCTCCAGTTACAGAATGTTGAACACAGATCTCAAATGGGAGCACTCCCATTAAGATCCGTGTTTAATTGTAGAGTTCTTTAAACAAAGCTGCTTGAAGCATGCAGAAAACTTTGCAAAAGCTTGCTGAACGTTTTGCAAAGGCTTGCTGTACATACCTGCAATTATACAGCCTGAAACCTGCATGGACAAGGCCCAAGACACCCCATGCAACTCAAACATACCTGCCAAAGACTGAAAGTGAATGCTGAGCCTTTTAAGTTTCACAACCGCTAATGAAACCCAGGATATGTCTACCCTGTCTGCACTATGCCCCAATTTTGCCTGCACTTCTGTTCATGAACGTAATAAAAGCTGAACTCCAAATATCTTAATATACAGATGAAATACATATATGGGAGCATTTTTAACAACAAAATGAATTCCATTTCTGTCCATTCAGTCCTGAAATGTACATAGCCCCATCAAACATACAGCCAGGAGGAGGACACCAATTTTTCGGTTACAGTTATACAAAGGTCTCAATGCCCAACCTGGTGCTATACAAGGGACTGCAAGCAGTGGATACCATCGCTGGTAATGAAGGAACTCAAACTTGTTTGCAAAATACAGTGAAAGTGAGTATGCGGCGAGTCTATTGACATTAATTTATATATTCTTGCAGTAATGCAGTAAACAGGCTTTTAAAACAAGCCCTCCCTAAGCTCTGTACCTGAAGGCCCTGTGTAGCAATTTATTCTCCTAGTTCATATCAGAGGCACTTTAGTGCAGTTTTTGTTTGCGTCTCCTGCAGCTTTAGGAGTAACTTAACAGTCTTCCAATATAAAGACATATGTGCTCTTTCAACATTTGGAGGCAGAAAGTCATTGCCACTGGAACTGGACTACAAAATCTGTTGAATTTTGCAGAACTGTTCCAAAATGCCTGCAGCTACAGCACTTAGTAAGGGTGTTTCAAAATGTATCTGCCGCTTGTTACAAATATGTAAACACATATGTGCATAGCCTGAGCTCATATTCATTTCAATATTTTATTAATACATGACTACATCAGTGTCTGCTATCTACCAGGAGTTTATATCTTAAAGTTTAACACCTGTCACCAGTTTGCACTAAATGACACGTATATAGTTAGATGATAGATAGATAATACACACACACACGTTAATACCTTCTGAGTAACAACCAAGAATCGCAAGGCACTAAACTGAGGGAAGTTCTGTCCTCCAGGCAGCTTGGTGGGAGGTAGAGAGTGTGGCGACTCCAGAACCGTGGTAGGATTCACCATCTTTTCCACCAGCATAAGCCAGGCATCCAAAAATTCCCCAGTACCATCTGGAAGGTCAGTGTGCTCCAAACCTTCAGACACTGGCACTCTTCCACCCATAGAAAGGGCCCAGTTAAAAGTTCTGAAATGGGAAGTAATAGAACAAATAAGCGGACAAAGCCAATATCTACATAAAGACATGCAAGTTTGCTATTCCTTTTTCAAAGATTGTATAAATAAGGCTACCCATCTATACCTTACTAGAAAACACACCAAAAAAAGTGAATGCCATTCTTTAAATATAAAACGGTTTAGTGGCTACTCTGTCCAGCAAGAAAAACAATTATTATAAGTGCTACCAAGAAGAAAAAGGTGTAAAAAATAAAAACCATAATTTAAAAAAAATCCCTTGCCACATGATTCTGCAGGTTGCAACAATTATACTGAATGATATTGTTGCTTATTGTGGGATTGTCACTGTTTTTTTAGAGATCAAAACCTGTGATATTGTATCATGTAGTATTGTAAAGCGCAATCTAGACCTTTATTTAATATTTTGCTAACCGTTTAGAGACACACTTTATTCCTGTGTGTGTTGCAATGAAATATAAAAAAGGGAAAAACTCTCCTCTATCATTTTGTTACGATACCTAAAAATTGCATTTTGGTAGAACGCTTTAAACCATAAGACTTTGTCGATTTATTTTGGAGTTAAAGTGACACTAAACTCAGATGTACATTATTTGTGCATCACTCGGCTGTAGACCCTCACATCATCTCTGAATTGGTGCTGGCACTGTCCTTCCTTCTGTAGGGTGGCTACTTTTGTTCCCCATGGGCCACTGCTCTAAGCTAGCTCCCATGATGAACTGTAATCTCACATTTAGTTTACCAATTTGTACTGAAATTGTAGTCCATTGAGGATTAAGCTTGGAGTGGAGGCTACACTACAAAACAGCTACATTATTGTTAATAGGGAAGGTACTTGAATGTATTTTTAAGATATAACTCCAGAGTTTAGTGTCACTTTAAAGTGCAACTGAAGCCCAGACTTTTTAGAAAAAAGTTTTAGACAGAGAAGAGAGGAATTAGAACTCCTGTCAGTTTTTTATTGCTGTGTGTCCCTGTTATGGAGATTGGCCCCTCTATTTGTCCTGGTGACCGTTATCTCTGAAAGTGAAAGAAAATGCCAAAGTTTGGGTGGTCATCAGAACAGGAAACAAATGGGAAATCTTCCACTGGGGTGACCCTGCAGACCAGGGATTTTCCTTTCTTTGGAGGATTTCCTCTCATTTTCCCTTGTGACTAGAAAGAAAGCTGACGGGTTATAACTAGAGGTGCACCAAAATGGAAATTTTAAAACCGAAACTAAACTGAAATAAATAAAAAAATATGTCAGGCCGAAACCAAAAATGTTTTTTATTTTTTCACATTTTTAAAAATAATCTTTTATAAACTTAATTACAATTGTACCTTGCTCTTCTCCCCGACACGCTGTCACAGGAGGCTGATCGAGCGGTTTAGGGAGGAAAGCCCAGCCTCCTGTGACAGCGGCGTCTCCGCCCCCACACCGCTCTGCGATAGGCGGCAGAGCGGTGTGGGAGGAGACGCCGGCCACTCACAGCACTCTCCTCCCGCAGCGCTCGGCTGGCTGTCACTTTCTCTTCTCCCCGCTGGGACACAGAGCAGCACCCAGCGGGGAGAAAAGAAATCAGGGATGCGCCGATCGGCAGGAAAATGGCACTTTCGGCATTATGCCAAAAGTGCTATTTTTGGCCGCTATATATCGGTGCATCCCTAGTTATAACCCTCCCTATATAAAACTGAAAAAAAATAGTTCTGTCTTAATTTCCAAGTTAATATACAGAGATGTGCATTGTTTTCTAAGTGTTCATTATTTTCACTTAATCCAATTCTCAATGTAGGAAATATGTTTCCAAATCTGCTACCAAGCTGAAATTTCTATTTGAACCTAGAAACACTTGAAAAATGTATCTACAGTGCTTATGAAAAATGAATCAAAGTTGAATGTGTAGGCATTATTACTGGAGAATATGAAAGCAGTGCTTTTTTATCAGCATAGGTACAAATTCTTACATATTTCCCTAATCTCGGGCTGAGCAGCTTTAGAAAACATCTCTGAAGATACAAGGAAATGGAAAAAGATTGTTTACTTACTCGAAGAGTGCATTGTGCCCACCAGAACACAAAAATTTCTGTAGCATTAGATGATAAGGATATTTGCGCTCATCAAACAGCATGGGAGATGTGAAGCCAACAGAGCATATGAAGAATGTTAACCTAAATAAAAAAAATAAAAAGAAGACTTTGTTAAAGGAAACCAGTTATAGGTAAAATAAAAGAAGCTGGCTTTGCTGACCAATTCTTCAAAAAATTCCAAAAAGTTTGGCTATCACTTTTAAAAGGAACCCGTCTCAAAAGGACATTATACCCAATTAGCCATTTACAAACTTATTTGCCACACACTAATTCTAGGGCCAGAGAAGTTAAACATTTTCAGTGAATCACTGCCCCAGATGTAGCGTGCAGTCTTTGGGGAAATTAATTGCTGACAACATCTAAGCCCAACTGCAAAGATGCTTTGCTTCCTGGTGGGATCCTGGTAATAACAGCACAAAGAGGGAAAGAATTCCATTACCTTAAAATGCCATTACAAAAGACAAATCAAAAAACTTGCTCATCTTGAGAGAACATATTCAGAAGATATGCTCCACTCACCTGAACCTTGGTGTAGGGGTATAAGGAGGCGGCTGCCAAGAAAGGCCTTTGGTAAGCAGTTTGGTGAGAGAAGATGCAGTGGAGCGAGCAGCTGGAGTGGGTGCTGTGGTAGTGCTTGCTGCATGGTGACTTCTCCTTTGCCTGACAGGAGATCCGACGCACAGCTTAACCAGGAGTCCAAACAGCTCAGCTAAAGCACGACCTAATCTTGAGGAAGCTTGAATGAAAAGATATGTTCATGAAATAACAGTGAAGGGTATTAATTGAGGTGAACATCTACTGTACAACATAATTCCATCTCACCTGACAGTAGCGGCTTGATCTGTTTAATACGGGCAGCCATCGCAGGAGTGATCTTGGGCTTACCCTTAGGGTCGGAAGTGCTTGGTTCGTCAGTTTCCATGGGGGCCAATGTATCACCATCCAGCCCAATGCCTTCCAGAAGGCCAGTGGTTTCTTCACTGGCAGCTGAACTTTCAACTTCCCCTTCTAAAATGGAGAAAAAAAATGTAAAACTGCAAAATGTAATTACCGTTTCAATTATAGACTAGAATCAGGTTGAACTTTAGTTTTTTTTGTTATGTTCCCATGTTACGAATAAGCCATGGTAGGCTTATGCCTACGATGGGAACATACCAAAAAAAAGTTCAAAATGATTCTAGTGATATGCTATATAAGCTTTAGATAAGCTATAATACAAAAACGATTTTCTGCTCACTGTAAAATCCTTATATCCAGTCATTTATTAGTTATACCCCGCAATAGTAACCTCTCTATTATACGTTCACACACACTAGAACAAAGATGTGTACTAAATAAAACTTAAAGGATCATTTTCTCCAGTAGTTCATTGAGGAGGACACAAGCAGACCTCCAAAATATGTCCTGTTTATACAGATCAAATCACAAAGCTCAACCAGAAGGGCACTGCTCCACCCCTGTGGGCTATATACAAATATATAATACTCTTAGATAGATGAATGCATTGGAGGCCTTGAGATCCAGTATTTGCATCATGTTTAGGACAGCTTCGCTTAGACAACATGCAACATGAAGAAAAAGCATGCAAAGTGAAAGCAATACCTGCTTTTTTGGCTCCTTGGGGAAGTGGGGTCGTTTTCTCTTCTTTGGGGGCAAGTTTCAGCATGTCAGCTTGACCAAACTCACATCCAGGGGGCAGGCTGACATAAAACCAAAAAAAAATTGCTATTTAACATTTATTGTAACAAATTAGGTTGCCTTAAACTGAAAAATCTATGTCTAAACAGTTTGAATGAGTGGTATATAAAAGAGAACACATACAGATGAAACAATCCATCCCCTTAGCAGTACCTGTTAGGTGTGCAGAGAGAAAGTAAGACTGTGCTTTCCCACACCAGAGAGCAGTACAGCTGGCTGAGCTTGTTTAAAACATTTAGTCCCAACTGAGATCCCCATTGGTTCACAGAGATGGCACGGATTTCACTCTGGCGAACAGCAAAGGAATTAAGGAAGAGAAAAAAAAGAAAGAAAAAGAAATGTTAAAAAGGTATTGTTTCCTAGTACATTTTATTTAATATGATTAAGATTAAAAATACAATATCGTTTTCATCTACAACTACAGTCGGTGACTGGGGCTCAAAGTTACTTTGCAGCGTGTGCTGTGAACAGTCCGACATAGCAAACAATCTAAAATTAAGCCTGTAAGATGTCCAAGAAACCATATCATGGTATCCATGATATATCAGACCACTGTATGTACCTGTGTGCATTTGCATATGGTAAACCTAATCAAAGTTTGTTCATAAATTAAATTAATTGCACGGCAATAAGATGGAGAGAAGTACTGCTGCTATCTGTGTGGAAGCCGCAGTCAAACAAAACCACCACCCATCCCTGCTGAGATATCGAGCTAAAGCTTTCCCACGAGCAAGGAACAAGCAGATTGTAGAGCTTTCGTTTTAAATTAGCAGGATGCATGTCAGACCACTGAATTCACACACATAGTGGCAGTCATCCTCTGCATCTTACTGCCAGGAGAGATTAATTTGTATTCCCTGTGGGGGGAATTTATCAATGCAACTGCGAGTTTTAGCCACTTAGATCATTTTTTTTAATGTGCAAATCTGTCTTTTAACATGTGCCCCTGTTTTGACCTGAGCTTGCACTACTTTTCCAACTGCACGTGTTTTGCACCCGTTTTGACCAGAGCTTGCACTACTTTTTCAATTGCACGTGTTTTCATCTGCACTTGTTCTACGGCTGTCTGAAACTGGAGCATCACCTAACAAAACAATCACAAAAGTCCCCATGGCCACTTTTTCAAGAAGCGACAGTTAAGCTTTTTGCCCGGAGTTACAAGTCTTCTTTCCTGGAGTCTATTAAACCTCATTTATCAACATTACACTAGCATCATAAATCTGGCGCAAAGTGCATCAAATGTATTCCGTGCAAGTTCAAACACTCGTAATTGCTATGATGAATTCCCCCGTGTGTATAAATTAGGACACCCAACAGGCGTAAGACATTTCAAATATCATCTTTTGGCAGCAAACACAACCCATTCCATCAAACTACAATTGGGCATATTTATTTAAAGCAATTCAGTCTGCCACAGTCTTAAAACGAACTATGCCATGGGCAGGTATCACAACCACTTCCTCCTTTCTTGCCCAGAAGAGCCTCCTCTGTGCCCGTCTGCGATTATGTCCACCTGCTTATGAAGCTTCGAATGGAGGGGAAAGCTTTATTCATCCATGTGTCCCCTGCCCAATGAGAGCGCATTGCTGGCCAAAAAAGCGCTCATTGTATAAAGAGCCAGTGGGTGATTGTTTGCTATAGATGTCTAGTGCCTGCCCATTTACGCCAAGTGAAACTTGAGTGGAGTTTTACTTAAAAGAATGGCTTCCCCATAGCAGGGAGGTAACTTCTTACCTGTCCTACTCTGCAAGTGTGGACAAACATCATAATGTAAGCATGGGCAGCTGTAAGGGCATGGAGCAATGGTGTCGCCTGGGCAGAGAGAGTAGCATCTGCAACATTCCCTGCCGAGGCCAATTCTCGCAACAATACAGATCCACCAGGTGCTTCAATTGGCCGATGTAGAGGATCCAGAGAGGAAAGAATAGAGTCCAGTTGAAGAAGCCCTTCCTGGAGAACCTTGGGTTCATGAGACAATGTCTACAAAAAGGAAAAAAAAAGGAAATATAATTACTTCCCAAAACAATGAGGAGGGAGCTATAACCCTACAAGTTCTGTGCCCCTCAAGTCATGAAACATTTTCCGATTAGAGACTTTCTGAAACTTACCAAAATAGATTTGCATACTCCAGCTACAGCCTGGCAAGCAGCAGATGTGGGGAAATCAATAGGTAGATTAGGAAGGCCCAGGATGGTGACCAGTGGAAGAAGGCCTTTTTGACTCACAAATTCCTGGCAGTGATCATCTGTTGTGTTGTTGCTCAGTATGGATTCTACAAATTTCATCTGTGAAGGAAGGAGATCATCAGCACAAGGCATGCAGAATCACGACATAAAAGATATCTCAAATAACCATAGGACTAGTCACAAGTATTGCATGTGGTCTACCTGCAGCTGATCTTTTCCCCTTTACTGACTTACCATGCCTTGCTCTGCACTTTGTCCCTGGGTGAAGACTGCCATCTTGGCAGAGGAATGGCTTTGATTCCTCATGTTAGAGCATTTAGCAAAGAAAACCGTGAGCAGCCCCCACTGATATTACCAGATCTCACCCCTAATCTTCCGACACTAGCAAGAGCTCACAATGCCTTAGATCTCAAACTGCAGATATGAAGCTGTAGGCACCCTCAGATATCACTGTTCTCAGGGCCTGTTCACATGAGATCAGGTGCGGATCTGCAGACTGATGCAGTGCGTTTTTGCCACATTTTTGATGCGTTCCAGTAAAAAAAACAAAAAACTTTTTTGCTGGAGTGGGGCTGTTAGTATGTTAGCTGCAGTGCAGTGTGTTTTTGATGCGTTTGCTGACCGTACAAAATACATGCAGTATTTTTCTGTCGTAACCTGAATGGACTGCGCACGTGAGAACTGTAGCCCATAAAACACATAGGGATACATTGGGATGCATTTTGAGTGCAGCAGCGTACGGATACGGTCAGCACACAAAACGGACGCCGTGTGAACAGGCCCTTAGGAAGACAAGTGCCTGCCACAGAATCCAATGGCCTGAATGCAGAGATATTCTCTTCCTGCACAATCCTTACCAGTGAGGCTGCCCATCATAATAATGGACAGGAGGTATCAGCACTACCCAAATGTATGCAAGCTGTGCTTGATAAAACATTAAGTTTCAACAGCAAAGTTACTGAGGCTGCTGCAGGTAGGAGCAGATTATCCAAGTACCTACAATTCATAACTGTAGCAGTTTTCTTTGTTTTTTAAAGAGACCTGTACTGAGAAAATATGCAGACTGCCACTGAAGACTACAAGTGATGCTTGGTTCACACCTGAGCGCTTTTCCACGCGGATCTAGTTGTGCAAAATACACATTTCCATGCAAGCCAATGGTGACTGTTCACACCTTAGCATTGCATCGCACGTAGGAGACCGACTGTTGCTCAAAAAGATGCATGAGCTATTTTCAGGTGGATCACTCTATTTTAGTCCCATAGATCTCTATGCTGGGAGAAAAGTGCGTTTTTAAAAGCAAAAACGTGCAAAACTAGATGTGCTCCTTACCCGGCTGTTGTGCTGGCCCAAAAGTCTAAATGTTTTTCAAGTAGTAGTTTCAGAATAAGCATGCAAATCACCAAATTTAACACTACTCAAATCTTTCACTAAAATGATTTGCTTAAGAAAATGTTATACAGTGACACAGGATGCCAAACAATAGATTTTGGGCTTTTATACATGGGAGCTGACTTACATTCCATGTAATGTCTTCCTCAGAGACTCATTTAATGGGTCTTAGTAGCAGCTTCCTCCACAAAACAGCAGGATGTACACAGAAGGCCAAGGCCTTGAATTCATTGGTGAGAGGATTATATTAATCTCTTAAAATAATGTACGTACCCCCATCTAGATTTCTAGACAGGCCACACGAAGGGTGAGAGATAAAGAATCTGAACTAAAAGCTTATCATCTGGGATCCCTGCATCAAATCTGCTCGTATGCTTCCCATGAATGACTCTGATGCTAAATAAACGCTCCCTATTTTATCCTAGTGTTGCTTATTTCATTATGATTCGCGAGCAGTATTGTGGCATTGTGCCGTTTCCCTCTAACGACCGTAGTAAGAAAGATACGCAGAGGGTTGTTTCCCTTTCATCTGTAGTTTATTAAACTGCATCTTGTTTTCATTGCATGCAAAGTAAGAAAAATATCTTTTAAAAAATGCAGTTATTGTTTCATGGCCGTGGGGTATAATTCACCCCAAAAATATATGTATTCTTCAATAAATATGTAATATGGAGGATCTTTGCACTTTCACAAGTGGTGGAAAGGAAAACGCATACATTTTATATGTGACCACATTTTTGTTTTTGGTGTAGTTGTAATTGAGATAACCTGATTGGTTGCTAAAAGTGACACCTTTATCCTTTCCTAAAGCTAAACTCCAGGCAGGTATAAAAGTCAAAGAGTAATGCAGCTCTATTTCAATAATATATAATATGACCTGTGTCTTTATTCAACCTCAAATACTATGTAACTATATCCTTAAATACATTTTTAAAAGCAGGCAGGGAAAGTACCTGAATGTGACTTTGCCTCTGGCACCCCACTGTACAGCATAGACTAGGAGGGGGGAATAGCAGAAGGAGCCAGCCAGTTGTGCTGCAGTACTCACATGCCAAGCACATGCACGAAGAGTAAGCCAATAGGAGGAGAAAGAGTGAATGAGTAAATAAGTCTGCAGCTTCTCCTTTCACTGGCCAGATACAGACAGAGGGAAGGACAAGTCCTGTAAGTCTTACTGAACTAAGTACAGTAAGACTTACAGTAAGCACAGGAAAATCAGGTCTACCACCTTGCCATACAAGTATGTGTTGAGGGCAGAGCTGCATAAATCTCACAACTATGTGGCCAGAAATACAAATTCTCAGTCAGGTAACAGCTACCATATATGTTCTTACACTTTGTGTTTAGCCGTTTGCCTGGAGTTCAACTTTAAAATCGTGCCCCACTCTATACATACACCCTATAGGACTAAATACAACAGCAGACCACAAAATTAAGTTCTGTCATTCAAAAAGAGAGTTTGCCCACTAAGTTGCTAAAGTATTGGCCAGGCATCCGGTTATGAAACTTACCACATTCAGGATATAGTCCATGAGGGGAATGGGAATTCTTTCCTCGGTTCCTACCACACTAGAAAATAAATAAACCATTAAAATCAACAAGCAAAGCTCAGATTAGGTGCAATAGGAGAAGATCGTCCTGCATCATATGCATATTTGAGGGAAGACATTGCATTTCAGATGACACACTTACTGCTGACTTTGATCTTCACTCTGCTGGTTGGTGCTGAAGCTTTGCATAGCTTGTACTTCCTCCTCTTCCTCGTCCTCGCTGGAAGCCTCCTCTGCAGCATGGTTGGACCGCGGTGGTGGAGCAGTAGTTGTGCCATCAGCCTTTTGAATTGATGGCTTTTGACAAATATACCTTGGATCCCTACCAAGATTGCATATTTCTTCCAAAAGCTAAAAAGTACAGATGACACACCATACATATGACTGAGGTTTATACTGGGAAAACAAATACATTAAACTCGAAGTTATATTTCCAGCATTGCTCAGCTGTGTAAAAATTCTGTCCGTTGAAATGGGTTCTGTCACGCCAGTAAATAGGTAGCAGAAATATTTTACTATAGGTGTGCGTGCTAACACACTCAATAACATTTCTAACTAAAGAAATAAGTCTCTTACAAGAGCTGACAATCAGAAAAAGAAAAGTCCCCCCCCCCCCAAAAAGCAAGAGCAGCCCGATAGATCCACCACCACCCTTCATGAACTCACTGAAAGCCACACATTCTGAAAACTGACACTAGATTTTGCATGGCAACTCAAATAGTCATCATTAATAACTATCACTGCATGTGTTATTTTGGCACACACTTCGAATTTTAGAAAATATTTATTGACCTCCAAACCACAACCTACAGCATTTTTTTTAGTATTGACTAGAGTAGGGAATGGTTTTGCGGTCTGTCTCAAGACATCAGCATACAAGAGGAGATCTTACCAAAGGAAGGGAAATCATGTTTTAGATGTTTCCGGAAAAGTTTTGGTACCTATATACATGAAAAAAAACAGCACCGGAAAGCTGCACTAAAAAGTCTGTTCCCAAATCAATAAAACCCCCAACAAAGGATGCTCATACTGCAAGAAAAGGGACATCAGCAGGCCATCCTCATCACTGAGGGCAAGCTGCTCTGTCACATAATGGCAAGGTCTATATCCTTTATTAGCTAACCAATACAGAGCAGCTGGAGTCTTTCTTGCAACCTCCTAAAGTCATTCATTTTTAAGTCCTAAAAAGCATCTCCAAAGTTTCAGCATCTCTTAAAGCACATTTCCACCTTTGCAGAGGTATTAAAAAAAAAAACATATGCCAGCAATGGACACCAATTGTACACAAAGCAGGCATATGCAGTTAATGGATATAAAAACAGAAACTTGTGTTTCGTTAGCTCTCCTCTTAATATCTGCATGGAAATTTCTGCCTCTGTGCTGTGCAAGCAATGTGAAAATACCCCCCCCCCCTTTTCCCTGGACTGTGTATTGTGTGTAAAGGCAGAGCTGGTGTTTACTGATCATGTTACAATGGGCAACCGGGAGGGAGGCAGCGGATTACAGCCTGAAACTCTGGTATCTGACTGAATTTCCTGTAGAGAAAATGTTTAATCTGTAGACTTCAGGCCTATTCAATGTGAGTCATGAAAATGTGCAATGTATACATCACCTGACCTCTAAATTACCATAATTAATGCAAATCACTTACAAAGTTGGAAATGTATCTAAAATCACTTTTTTTGTTTGGATAATGTGGGGATGAGTAAGAAACCCTAGTACGCTTGTTAAACAACTGTTTATCCTGATTGTGCTGCCACATCCAGTGTCATTTTTATTATTTCTTCTGTTTCAATTACACTGCATATCTATATCATTGCATTTCACTGTGTTATACTGTATTTCTAGCTACAAGTGCTAGATTAGAATTTTTACAGCATAATCTGTGCATACTTGGCATCTTCCACTTCACCCCTGTTTTCTGTACATTGGTATAGGCTTCTGCTAAACCTTCCCAGTATCCCTTTGTACTGCCTCTTTCTACATCACCCCCCACTGAGGTAAGAGGGTCTCAGTTATCCTGTTAATGGCAAAAATGGGAATGACTGGAGGAGGCGTGGCAGGCCATTGAAGTGAATGGCACTGTAGCCATGCCCTCAGGCCGCAATGCGATCGCTCGCACGGGATCACAAGGCACATTGTGCCTGCAGTGAGGTCCGATCAAAATGCTGCACTATTTTGATTGCACCGCACTGCAGGCACAATGTGCCTTGCGATCCCGTGCGGGCAATCACATTGCGGCCCTGAAGGGCGTGGTTACGGTGCCATTCACTTCAATGGCCCGCCACGCCCCCTACAGCCTGGCAAAAAAGTCAGCAGGCCGCAATGCGATGCAGTGCGTTCCGGCCAGAATCAGACCGGAACGCACTGCTTATGGTGTGAACTAACCTTAAGAATGACAAAGAATCACATCCTATGTATTGAGAAGGCAAATAAACTGCATTGGATTCTTCTTATCGAGTTTGACACTATCTGTGAATATCACCAAGTCAGTAGGTTGTCATACTGCCCGACAGATACGTCTCAGGAAAGTATGTGCAAATACATAAAGCGGTGGTTGTAACAGAATACTGGTGACCTCTGTCATTGGGCCTGAAAGTTAGGGGAAATCTAAAACGTTCAGTTGTCAATGAAAACAGGGTGAAATTTTGTTCACATGTGTTCTGGTGAAGACTGTCCAAGAGGATTCACCATACATACTTAGGTGAGATATCCTCTCACTTGCAATTATGTCTTGAGACAGGAAGCAAAGGAAAATCTTTCCATTGAGGCATGGTACTGAAACACTGAGGTTCTAAACAGCAATACATTCAGGGTAGGTACTTTTACACCTTTGTGAACCCTCAACAGTGGGATGGCGTTTATATATTTCCCACACAAGCCACTTCTGTTCTTTAAAGCCTGTAATTCCTAGGACAATGTAGGCGCATACACAGCAATAGCAATAAATATCTAACACAACCCATTTTAAAGCAAAATAATCAACTACTCCCACTCACCCAAGAGATAAAATAAAGGCTTACCTTAATAATAGCAGTGGTGGCATCTGTTTTTAACGTGGGCTGGTGCCTCATCAGCTCATCAACAGCACTGCCCAGGTTAGAGGCTGTATCGCCTGCAGGAGACCGGAGAGAGGTCAAAGCTGGAAGAGACCACGGGCCTCTTAATCCCTCAGCTAGAGACCTGAAGAGCACTATTCTATCCTGCACTACAGGTCTCTTCAGCAGGGGTTAGAGGTGGTTTAGGGAGTTTGGGGAAATACCAAGGATTGAACATTCACGCTAAGGACTGAGCCTTGGAAAGCTACAAGGGAAAAGGTTTGCAACACTATATAAAAAATTATTCATTAAGGGTTTAATATATATATGTTGGGAATGCAAATATTTGACTGCGGTGCTAATCGACCTGTCTGTGGGAAAACAGTTAACAAAAAGTCCTTTAAAAGACACAAGGAACATGTCAAGAAAGAAACAAGGGGGTGCTGTAGTATGCAGGTGTCGCAACACTTTAGTGGCTTCATGCTTGTTCTGTGTCAGTCACTCAGTAAGAAATGAGCAACAACAAGCATATTAGGTCAGGAGCCGACAGACAGCAATAGAAGGTCCTGTGTTTCAATCTTAAGTTTCCATTTACTACAACAGGTACAATTTTAAAAAAAATGTGAACGCCTTGCCAACATCTAGCTGCAATATTTCTAGATCAACTAATAAAATAAATGCAAACACCTTATTAAATGCAATGTATAATGCAAATACCGTTATAGTCTTTTTTTTTTTTTAAATCATCAACGAAACTGCTTTAAAGAAACACTGTCACTTTGCCCTTTCAGGGGACTTGCTCCTCCATGCCCCTTCTATGCCTCCCACTCCATCACTCTAACCACATCTGAAAGCATCAAGTGCCAGCCCAATGCACTACCATGTGCGGAGGGCAATGGTGGAGCTGCATTAAAGTGGATTCCTGCAATTGGAGGCAGCAAGGGAGCATGGGTAGGTAACAGACAATGTCACTTTGCCTTAAAAAAGCAAGTGACAGTGTCCTTGAAAAGCAATTCACAATACAAAAGGTAAATAATCCAGTCACCAAACAAAAATCATATTACATGGATGCGACATCTAGAAACTGATTCCATATTTGTTACTATTGAGCAATGCATTAAAAAAAGAGAAAGATTGCCCCTTGCAGCAGTAGCTTCAGAGTTATTTCTTATGCTGAATGAACTAAACATTTTAGGGATATAAGCCCAGGTATCTGTCTATTTGTTGCCATCATCTAAATGCTATTACAATATAACAACCCATTAATGCTCAACTCAAGGCAAAACATTTTATATTCATGTTCTATAGCATGAGAACGGTCTAACACCTCTGTCAGGTTTTAATGCAGTGAGAGGAAATATAACAAAAAGTCAGCAAGTGGAGGAAATTGTGTCATTCCAAATTCAATCATAACAAACAAAAATCTAACAGAGGTTCTTATCCCTCCCCACTCTACCAAAAACATAAAAAGTGTCACCTGGAGTTGGGCTTCAAATTGTATGTTCAGTTTTGTTACGTACCTAGAGGATCAGAGCTCCGCCGCCGCCGCATGGCAGGAAGGTAGTCTGGCGACAACAACACTTTAAACAATCTCTCAAAAGGTTGGCACTGTACAAAGGATTGCAAACCACGGGCATTCAGACACAGTGCACTGAATACGTTAGGGAGGGAGCCGAGAACTTCCCGAGTAGCAGGAACCTGTTAGACAAAATATTGAAGATTTAGAATTTGATAAATATTTGTGAAGTGTTCAGATCATTTTTAGATAAAAACAAAAAAACAAAGACCGTTGCTTTTGAATGCTCAAGACCAAAACCCAAAGGAAAAAAATTAGCTTTGGACACATAAAATAGCTTGCAGCACTTAAATACTGGTTTGCAAATGGAAAGCTATATGTAAGCATACAAGTATGAATATTGTCCATGTGTTGGTTTGCCTTCCCACTTCTAAACACATATTTAAAGATTAAGGGGCCTGAGGACCTGAAGGTGTCCATGTGTGTACTAGGGACATTAAACTGCAAGTCTCACTGGAGTAAGGAATGAGCAACCACATCACTGATCTCTGAAGAGCGCGATACAATTTGTTGCCATATAAAACTGTAGATAAAACAAATGATAAAATATATCTTATACAATACACAAATGTGTACTTAGATCTCAGTTTCCTCACTGCAAAATCATAAACACTTGTGTTGCAATAGTAAACTAAAACAAAAATGTAAGAACTAAGTCCCCACATCCCCGGCATTGCAGTGTACATACTTTAGATGACTGTACTGCTCAGTATTAACCCCTTCGTGACTGACGACGTACAGTGTACGTCGCCAGCATCGGGGCAAATAGAATTGGGCCTCTATCGTATTTGCAACATGAGAACTGTATTACCGAACAGATTCACACGTTAACCCCCCACCACCAAATATATTAACAGATGTAAAGGCTGATGCAGGGTGGTATTCTTAAGCATAGTCTTTACCATCCAAATGCATCACTGCTCAAACACAAAATGCAGCGTTTGATAAGAAAACAGTGTTGTTGCCTAACCTGTAAAAGAAGCTTCTTGGAGTTCATCACAGGAAACATGGATTTAAGTTTATAACCAATGGATTAAGTAGCCACCTTTAAGTAATTGGGAACTGGCAAATTAAGATGTTATAACAGTCCTGTATAAGGGAAGGGGGGTGGGGGCAGCCATTTAAAGGCAACATTCCCCATCCAATCTTTACACTCCCAGTGGGCATTCACAACCAAGGATTGGGCTCCACCAAGATAACCAAAGTCCTGGACCTATACAGAATTCTTCTGCGACAAACCCATGCACTGCACCAAGTGCAGAGAAAAGGCCGAGCAAATTACAGGCCAGCCCCTCATCTTTCGTCTGGTGGGGTCTGGGTATGATCTTGCCAAGGATAAGGAGAAAACCAATCCAGATAGCTGCTGGGAGGTGCCTCAGTGAGCATCGTAGGAAAAACTTGATAGCAAAGTATTGAACCATATAAATACATTGAAGAAAAAATAAAGGATGCGCTTCTCTTAAAGCAGGGAGAAGGCATCCAGAAAACTGAGGCAGCCTGGGAGTGAGGGGGTTATACAAGGGTTTACAATCCAACGCGTCCAATCAGCTGTAGGTAGCTGCATAACCCACTAGTTCCAAAATGAACTCCCTATGTCCTGTGAGGTATGAACAAGAAAGGGACGTGCTTTGCCTGCAATCCAGTTGCACCTACACACAATATGTTAGCTCTAAAAAAAACACACTGAAAAGTAGATCAAATGTAGCCTCGGAAATGTCTTCTACTAATGCTCCACTAAAGTCAATGAGAATCAGCTGATCTGCATGCGACATGCATTTCAAAAAAAACATCAAACGCAGGAAAACAACCATCTATGAGCCCAAGTTCTTGTTGTAGGCTAAGTGAAATACAGATGGGACTTAATTTGATGCACTGTGATAAGGTCATTAAGAGCGCTTAAAATGCACTGATGTATCTTGAGATAAAGTAGGGATGGCATAATTCAAAATGTGTAAATTATTCTAATCTAATAACCCATTGGAAAATATAAAAGGTCAAGTGAACCTCTACTTCCACCAGCAGCAATACTAAAAACTCAAGAACTTCCATTTCTAACTTGGTCTTTGGATTAGTTTTGATCTGTTAGAAGAGTCAAATGCATCCTTTTGAACTGTAGAATTAACAAGGATCGGTGCTGCCTACATTAATGTTGGGGCATTCATGAAAACAAGTAGCCTATGTCAATATTAGAAGGAAGGTTGTATACCCCAAACGATAGCCTAAGAAAACATCACCACTTACATCTTTGATAAGGAGAGCGTGCAACATCACATCGGTAAGACCATTATCTTGGAGGGAGGAGAGAAGGGAGGGCTCTTGAAACACAAAGACTGTGACCACTTCAGTAGCTGGAAAAAAAAAAAACCACGTATAACACCCAACAGATTTATATAAGACATGAATACAAATAATCATGAGACAGTTTTGAATTTGTGATCATACTAACCCAGCAAGAAAAGGGAAGGTCCATAGTATTCTGCATTGCTGATTATGTGTTTCAGAGATGTGGGAAGGGTTCCATCCATTACTATTTAGGGGAAAAAATATTAAATAAGCAACATACAACAAGTACCTAAAAATTACACCAAGAGATTTTTTTCTGTTCTGGGGGCATTCATTTACTTGACAAGAATTGAGGAAAAAAACCTGGTACAGGGAATTAAAGAAACAAAAAGGTAACTACCATGCCGAATGCCGTCTGAGAAAGCGGGATCTTGAATGGCTTTCTTCAAGAAGTTTAGCATAGATTTCAACAAGGCAGCTCTTTGGGGAATGCACTGCACACCTGAAAATCAAAATAAAATAGATAAAGACTATTTGTATGGTGATACAATTGTCACTTTTTTTTACCCCCAATTGTCATTGCAATATGAAGTTGGATAAACTTTGAATACACAGCTCATCTTTTTTTTTTTCTACTACTGATATGGTGATTGAAAAAAAAAAATCTCCCTCTCCAGAAACGCTTTGCTAAAATAGTATTAGGATTAAGTTATGCAGACTTTGTCTGAGTCTTACCAGAACGTGGCATCAATATGCTCCCAGTGCTACTGCTTGAGGGTATAGGTCGAGGTTCAGAGGAGGTGGAAGGCCCTGGACTGCTCTCCATGGCCACATCAGACACTAAAAGATATTGTACAGTTATTTAACACATCAACGATTAACCTGTCAAATTAGCACAAGACAGAAGGGACAGATAATACATTCATTGGGAAGAAGAAAAAACACAAGGCAAAAAAAGAAAACAAATACAGCAGTGGAATATCCAGGCTCGATTTCCAGTCATTTTTCTATCAAAACATTTGCCCAGATTTCTTTTATTACCTTCCATGTCTGTTTCCATCTCTTCGCCTTCCTGAACAGTACTGGGGCGCTGTATTTTTGGTTTAATGACAAATGGGCACTCTTTCCTGCACAGGTCAACCTCGTGCTAAGAGGGAAAAAAAAACAACTCATGATACAGCTACAGTACAATTTCTAACAAACTCAACCATAGCAAAGTGAAGCTGATCTACTTTCCAATTAAAGCCCATGTGAAGTTTCAGTGAAATAATGTATATCATTTGCTATGCAGGAAAATGGTAAGATCTCTCTGTCTTCCCGTTATTTTTCTTTGTGAAGCAGCCTCAGTAAAAGTACAAAATCCTGACCCCTCGATCTCTACAGGGGTTTTTTTTAATTTCCACACTCCTGATGTGGTAAATTAAAATAAGGAATCCACTTAAATTGAATCTGATTTAATCCCAGCATTTTACACTAATCCCAAAACTATGAATGCATGGAAAATTCTGAATTTTTAAAATGGTGCTATGGGAAAAATGCTGATGGTACCAAAAAAACGGTCAAAAATGTGGTGCATCCTTAGCCTCTCTCCCCGCTGGCTGACAGTCTGTGTCCCCTGCCTGTATCGGCAAAGGCAGCATGGATCAGTGGGGATACAGCAGGGTGGAAAGAAGCTGTCAGGAGGCCGAGCAGGGTGGGAGAACTCCGGAACTACGGGAAACAGCCGGTAAACACTGAGCGATCAGTACTGATTGCTCAGTGTTTGTACATAACTGAGGACATAGTGATTACTATTTCTCCAGTTATGAAAGAACAGGAATTGCTTTACATCACTTCCTGTTCATTAATGAGGGCGGACATAGTAAATATTTACTATCTGCTGACTTTATGAATGAAGCAACTCCATGCAGAGCTTCCTTTTCATTGAGTGCAGAAAAAGATTAAGGACTCTGTGTCCTCAATCTCTTTTTCCATTTTAAAAGGGAAATATCAGGAGTCTGTTTAGACCCCTAATATTTCCCCAAAGCCCCAACAGTATAAAAAACAAAAACAAACCTAAAAATAAAATTTTAAAATAATTACTTTCTTTTATAAAGGTTGGGGGGGAAAGAACTGAAATTTTTGGTTTCAGCCTGACAAATTGAGATTTCGGTCAAAAAATTTCAATTTAGCATCCCTACCCAAAACTACAATTCAGGAAAACAGCTGCAGAATGGTCACTGCCTTGTGTGATGTAAGGCTTCATCGGGGAAGTTACATTCCATCAAAACTTTATAAGATCATTTGCTGTGTTTAGACGAAAACCTCTCTATAAAAAGGACATTTGACAGAACAAACTATGCATGTTGCAAAACTAATAGGGAGCCATTGTTCTTACCTCCAAACGGTAAATAAATATGGACAGCCCGCTGTGAGACTGAAAGGCCGCCATGTCCAGGTTGGTAATGAGGTCAACAACCCTGACCGCTCGCGTCACAAATGTGATCTGGTCCTGTTCGTCTCCTAGGAACTTTATCACCTGGGAAACATGAAGCAAAAAGATAAAGCACAGAGTTCTTAGTAACAGAGACTTTGGTGAGTTGCTGCCATGGCGACAACAGCAACTAATACGCTATTTAGAAGAAAAAAATAAAGGTCATACCGTGTGGATATAGATCTATATCTGTATAGATATAGATCTATATCGATATATATATTTAACATATCGATATATATATTTAACATCAAAGTACATTGTATCATTTCTATTGCCTCTTAAAGCCCTATCCAAACAAGCAGTGTATAAGCTTGCATACAAAACACATACAGCTGGTTGTGCTGTAGAGTGGAAGAGCATAACACCATCTAAAAAGACCAAGTAAGCCTTTTGCAATTAACCCCTTTTCACTCAAACTGTAAATAACACACTCACCGGGGCTACATTTATAAAATGTAGGCTCCAGTGCGATTACCTTTATACTGTAAGACCCAATTCGCGCATGGCTTTACGATCCTACAGTTAGAGATAAATGACCACCTGCCTATAGCCACAGGTTATCGCTCCATGTGTGAACACAGGGAGGACAGCTGCGGCTGCTAGGAGTAAGCACTTGTGATTCCTGGTGCAGGAATTCACAGCGGACCGTACAGTTTCCAATGAATGAGGCCCAAACGTTCCATACACACACACTATATATATTTTATTTTTGTATTATTATTTTATACTTTTTATTTGGAGAAGAGTTTTATTTTGTAAATGTCATAGATATATATATATATATATATATATACATACCTATATATCGATATAGATATATCGATATATAGATATGTATATATAATTATTTTTAAAGAAAAGCACAGATATTAAAATTTTTAAACAGTGTTCCAATAAAAGCCTTACATGTCCATACTTAAAAAAAAATAAAAATAAATGGCGTGCCAATAAGTTATTTGCACATTAACGTATGCTGAGACATAAGAGTTTAACCCAAAAAAAACTTTTTAGAGAGTACCTTTAAAAGTGCTTCCATCATGCCACAGGAAACCAGCGCCTCCCCACCAGCATCATAACTGGCTAGATGATACAAGAAAGAAAAGAGAGCTGTGGCAAATTGGTGAGGATATGGCTCCATGGTTGGGTCTGCGAAAACAAGAAAAGTCGCATGAGTCAAGTCAATATTGTGTAAAAACCAAACAGTAAAACTACCCAAACCTTGAAATGTCATCATTGAAACACCCTCTATAATTATAGGTTACACTACTGTCGGTTTAAAGGCATACAGTGTCCATGACTGTATAGCCAAAGTAACTAGTAACAATCTGATAAGTCAGTGAAGTCAGTAAAATGTAACTTGCACAACTTAACTGAGAATAAAAGAAGGACCTATTAAAATAACGAGTCCACCAAAAAGTGACCTAGCTACAGGTGGGCCAAGTGAGCCCGTGGCTTTGTTTTGGATACTTCTGCAGCGAGATCTCCTCAAACCCTTCCAAACTGTGCTCCTGCAATCCGAAAATCTCTACTCTGCATCCGGTCAATCATGGGCATTTCCAGCAACCTGTGCATTTTCCAGCTGTTCCCATCCTATTCCTCATAATCCAACATAATCACCCCTTATAATGGCCGTAGAGGATGTACTGTACAGCACTACTATCCCATAGATATAAAGGATAAACTATCAACTAGTACAACTTCTTAGCATCCACCAAAACTGAAATATTCACCTACAGACAGACAAACCATAACTGCTACATGAGATTTACACCCTTGTCACGATGCTGGAAGGGTTATAGCGACGCACATTAAAGAAACTTGCCAGAAAAACGTGTCTTTTTATTTATTTATCCCACACAAGTGAAAAATCAATTGGTATTTGCCAACAAACCGATCTTTTTACAGCCAACATTGTGCTATTTATAACGAAGGTATAAAAGGAAAGTATTAAAACTCACCGATCATAGCTTGAATGCAGTTTCGGACCAGAACGGGCAGGAAGCCATGGTAGGAGGCAGTACCAGTGCAGTCGATGATGCTGCTTAGTTTGGGGGTTCTTTCCAGGTGTACTATAGAGGTCAGTGTTCTTAGAGATGCAGCTTTTATATCCTACAAAAAAGTAACAGCTTAGTATATAAGCCATGTAAACCAATGGCAGGAATGTCATAACTACACACACACCCTACCACAACCAAGCAGAAGTTTGCAAAGCATACAATATCCTACCATTAGCTGCTTGTCTGTTATTTGAAGCACATCCACCAATTCCTCTATTAACCCATTGTAGAGGATACTGTTTGCCGATTCTTGCAATGCATTGGAGTAAACTGCAAGGAAAGAGTTTGTACATCAAAGGTTTTTAGCAGTATGCTTTTGAAAGGTTCCAAATATTAAAAGGAACGATACAAGCGTGTCCATACAGACACGCTTCTCAAACGCCCAATTCATTCACAAACTTCTGGGTCACACACTGAACTTGTTTACTTTTTTGCAAATTGCCTAAGGCATGGGAGCAGGACTATATTCTAAGACAGGTCTGTACACATGGCAGATACCCTTTAGCCTTGGCTATAGCATTTTCCCCATGCATTTGTTAACCTGAAAAGGCTACAAACTTTTGTAACCCTTTAGAAGTGTAATTCCTGCAGATCACCTACTACGAACATCTCTTTTATAACAAATCCCTTACCTTAGAGCAGGGGTAGCCAAACTCCGGCCCTCCAGCTGTGGTGAAACCACAAATCCCATGATGCATCTCTCTCTGGCAGTCATGTCTGAGAATCTAGTAATGCCTCATGGGATTTGTAGTTCCACCACAGCTGGAGGGCCGGAATTTGCCTACACCTGGTTAAGAGTAAGGCTTGGTTCACACTGAGTGGTATGTAGCGCTTTCTCTGCCCTAAAAAACGCTAAACAAAATCCCATTCATTTTTATGGTCCTGTTCCCATCTGAGCATTTTGTCGCAATCAGGAAAATGCAGGTCACTGGACAAAGAACGTGAAGTTTTTTTTGGCATAATATAGCTCATTTTGGCCCCATAGACTCAATAGGAAACACTTGAAAACGCGAGCTTGCTGTGTTTTTGCGCACATCTGCCCATCAACATCAATGAGCTAGAATCTGCAGACAATGCGCGACTTGATGAACATAAACCACGTGTAAAAACGTGCATCAAAATCGCGCGTAGAAACGCACAAAAATGCTGTCACCTAGGTGTGAACCCAGCCTAAATCTGCACTCCAGGCACACAAACAAACCAAAACAGAATACACGCTGCTACACAGCAATATGAACATATTTAAACAGAATTCTAAATATCTGTTTTATAACTGTTAAACATTGGCTGACATGATTCCCTTAGGCTTCAGCTGTTGGGGAAAAAATGCAACAGTAGACAAATTCCACTATCCATTCCTTGCAAGCTGAGAAATTCTAACTAGAAGCAGAAGGTTTCCAATGAGCCACAAGTGCAGCTTTAAAGATATAGACAATTAAAAAAATAGGATACTTAGTTCCTGATAACTTAGTAACTTAATGAAAGGACTAAAGATACATACCTAGAATAGAAATAGCATGCAGTCTTGCTTGTACTGCTTGTAGTCTCTTCTTGTGATTAGAAAAACCATGTGCCAGTCGTATGTGGGTGAATAAAAGCATCTAGACCGTGAGGAATTAAAAATGACAAGGTCTCAAAACAAATATCAGAACTGTAATCCCCAGTCCCAATCAAAGCTAGTGTCTCTTTAAGGAATAGCCTTGGACATGAGGTACTGTCTGAGGCCGTATTCACACCGAAAGCATGTGCGTTCTAGAGCGGTAGCTGCTGGAACGCACCGCAATCGCTGAGAAATGTCCCCCCACGTTTTGGGTCGGGACGGTGCATTGTGTTCAATGGCACAGCTTCCACGCCCCCCCCCTCCCACCCCCCCGCCTGCAGTGCGATCG